TGAATAATCCTGTTTTAAATTTATTAGGGACATTTGGTTTTATAACATATAAAAAAAAATATAACATAATCGATGGTTTCAGCTCGAAAGAATTACAAACCTTTTTAAAAATAAAAACTGATAATTATTAAATTAGAAGATTTATCATATATCAAAAAGTTATTTTTGAATTGATTATATGTGATATCAATTAATTTCATACAATATTTAAAATAAAAAATGCACAAAAATTTTCATATATATATTATAAAATCTGGAGCTTTATTTTGAGATTTTAAATTTATTCTTATAAATATATACCTAACAAATTAATGTTGTTAGTTGAAGTTAATCTAATCTCTCAGAATAATTTAAAATTTATTGTCCTTTAAAGAATGAAAATTATAACCTTCTGATTTTCTCTCAAACAGAATACTCCAAATAAAAAGAAAATTATCATTGTAAATTATATTTAAATTATGATATTCTTATGCATTTTAATTGCTAATATTTTTTACTAAAATTTTTGAAAAAAAAATATTGAAGTATTGATTCGAGATAATTTAGAGAATTAATAATAATTACTAGTTAAAAAATTTTTGAAACAAAGAAAGATATTTATGTATTAAAATAGTTCAAAACCACTATAATATCAACAAAATAAATTATAAATTGTCTATTTAATAATCTGTAAATTAAATTTTAAAACATTTCTATGCAAATTGCTTTAATAATAGTTGGAGTTATATTGTATATTTGTATATTATAATTTTCATTAATTAAAGAAGAATATTAGAAAATCATAATGATTAAATTTGATATTTGTTATTCTTTAAGTAAATAAATATCTTGTATTTATAGAAATTTTAAAATGTGGTCTTGGTTATAAAATGTAGAATTAAATTTATGATTCTATTTATATGGAATATTTAAAATTTAATGAGATAATTAATAAATTAGAAATATTTATGAGAAGTCCTTTCCTCGATTAAAAAAAAATAGATCAAAAATGGAAATAATATAAAGGAATTAATTCTCATAATTGTGTGATAAAGCTTGATATTCCTGAATTAACATTTAATAAAGATGAATTAACAAAAAATTATGTTTAAAATCTATTAGATTACTATGAAAAAGGTACTAATCAAATTAAAACTAGAATTTTAACTAAACTAAAGCTCTAAAAAATAGATTGAAGCTGAAAAAATATTTAAGTAATTAAATTAGTACGGTTTGGATGTAATGGAAAAGTTTGAATGTTATGAATAATGTGAATAAATTTTCAGTTGGATTATTAATCATAAATCATACTTGTAAATCCCCACTCAAATGTATATATTTTGACCTATGCTTAAAAATAGTTATTTAGCTCACCGTAATATAAGTAATTTATATATGAAAAAAGGGAATCCATAATAAGCAATAAATGCTCTAGAGAAGGCTTTAAATTTAACTTCAGATTGTGGTATAAAAAATTTAAGAGCAAAAACATTGATGAGAATTGCAAGTATTTATAATAAGATGTATATGTAAAGATAATTTATTATTTAATTAAGGTATTAAAAAGTTTTTTAAGCTTTAAATGAAGCTTTAGAATTAAGTAGTCGGGATTTTGATCCTGATAAATAAGAAACTGGAATATAATTAATCGAAGCTTATTTTAAATGTGCATCTTAATTGGAATAATTAAATCAAATGAGAGAAGCTATGAAACAATATTAAAAAGGATTAGAAATTAAGAATAAATATATTGATGATAGTAATCTTTAAGATAAAGATTTCTAAAATAAATGTTAAAGGGCATAATAAAGTTTAAATGCATTATAATATGGAGCAACAATTTTATAAAAAGAAGAAAATAATGATGAGATTAACTAATTAAATAAAGACAAAGAATTTTAATATTAAAATTCAAATAAAATAAAAAAAAATATTCATAATCTTGCTCCAAAAAATAATAAATAATAAAGGTTTCTAAAATGTATTAAAGAATTTTTAGATTGTGCAGAATATATTGAAGTTGAAGTAATTAACAAACTATCTGATTAAGTTGATACTCTATTAGAATAACATTAAGGTTTACCAATTAAGATTAAATTAAAAGGTTACCATATTATTAAAGGAAAAAATTAAGTAAAACAAAATTCCAATATTTATCAATTAATAGGGCAAGAAGAAAATAATATTTCTTAATAAGAATAAATGATTTATCTTTAAAGTATTATCATTAAAAAGTTTCTAAAAGAAGCTGTTTAAAATAATATAAAATTAAATATTAATTAGGAATTATTTTAATATTTAATCAATCCATTGAAAACATAAGAAAAATAAGAATAAAAAAAAGCTGATGAATTTTTTTTGAAATTTAAAATCAAATTAGATCGTTTTATAATATTAACTGTTAATTTTGATTCAGATGATGAAATTACAAAAATTTACAGATTATTATGTTAAGACGAAATTTAAAAAAAACTAATTTAATAACTTAAAATAAAAAAATTGGATTTATTACTGCCTTCTAATATTTCTTTAGAGGATTTTAATAATTTATATGTATTAGAAAATTAGGCTTTAGAATTAAAATATACCTCAAATTAAATTATTTTAATATGTTAATAAAAAGAAAAGTTGAACATTAAATTATTATAAGAGTAACTAAATGATTTTGTGTAGAAATATAATAAATTTGAATTAATTAAAGAGTAATTTGAAATTGATTTGGCCTCTCTTCCAGATAATAATTACATAGAAAAATAAGTAAAATAACTTTAAGATTAAGAAGAATGGTTAGAAATTATTATATCACATCCATCACTTTTAATAGGAAATAAAAAAATGTTTTTTGTAGGAGTCACTATTTAAATATGGATATAAGAAGAGAAAATGAAAAATGAGGAGGATATTGTAGAAAAAATTTCAAGGTTAAAAAATGATATAATGTTAATATTTTTTCCTATTAAGTAGATTGTTGTAACTGATAAATTCAAAATTATGCTATGGGAATAATTTTTGAATTAATTTTATATGAATAATCTTTTGGGATGTTGGACCATTCATAAAAATCCATCTTTGATGATAATTGAACTTTAAGGAGAAATTGTTATGATAAATGATAAATATAGGTAGATTTTATCAGATTTAAATGAGTTTTCATGTGAAAAATTTAGCTTTAATTGTTAAGAATAAATTATTAAGATCCTTAATAAGAAATAAAAATTTGACAATTTATATAAATCAATTTTGGCAAATATTGCTAATTAATTTGGAAAATGTTTAATAAAGATTTCTGGTGTTAATCTAATGGAATCAACCATTTTAGTCTCTATATTTTATCATGAATAGACAGATTTATAATTAATAAAATAACAATTATATGAATAATTTTTTGAATAATTGAACTTCCATAGTTAAAAAAATTTTGAAATTGAAGATTTATGGCAATTTTTAGGAATGGAAAAATAAATTTTTCTTGATTAACATAAAATAATTGTATCTAAAATGAACAAAGAATACTATTTTATTGGATTGAACATGAATTTAATGGAAATTAAAAAACTATTAATAGAAATAGAAAAATAAAATTCAGAAAATTAAATAATTAATATAATTGATTGCCCAAAAATTCTTATTTTTAATCGACTGAAATAATAGTTTTTAGAAACAGAATTATTATAAAATGAATATGTTTCGAATGTTTATGTGAATTATTCATAAGAATTCAAAATTATATTACGTGCAAAGGATTAACTTGAATTAGATGAAAAATAAAATAAAATTTGTGAAAGAATTAAATAACTTGAAAACTAAACAGTTATTAAAATTTGCAGATTATAAGCAAAGCAAATTAAATATTTCGAAAAACATTTAAGATCATTTTATAAAGAATTAGAAAAGTAAAATGATGTCATATTTGAATTTTATAAGAAATTTAGTTACTAGATTTTATCGTAACTAGAATGTGATAATAAAAAAATTTAAGTTGTTTCAACAGATATCACTTTAATTGAATGTGATGCTATTGTAAATTTTAGTCATTATATTGTTGGATAAACTTAAAAATTGAATTAATAAATTTTGGATTTTGGTGGTTAAGCCTATCAAAGATATATTGAAAATATTATGAATGATAATCAATAATCAAATTAAATTGAAGTTACTGTTTTTTAACTGAGTCAATTTAGGCATATAAGATATATAATAAATGCGTTTATTACTTCAGACATTAATAAAAATTAAGCATAGTATGAATAAAAATTAAAAAAAAACATAGAAGCTATATTTGATAAGATTGAGAATAATAATTATCATATTTAAACCTTAGTTATACCTATATTAAATATGGAAGATAAGGAATCATAAATTAATGATTATGTGACAAATATATTTCTGAACTGCATCATTAATAGATTTTTTTAATGTAATAATTTAATTAAAACAATTATTATAAACCAACCAAATTATTTAAGTATTGATTAATTAAATCTAAATTTTTAGAGAACATTATCAGGTCAATAATAGAATGCTAAATTTTAATGGCAATGGAAAAGTGAAACAAATTTTGAAAATTATCCTTTGGATATTAATTTGTAAATAGATAAGGGATATTCAAAATTTTTAGAATCAAATTAAGAAATTGCTGTGGCATTAAATTATAAAATTACCTCTTTACCAGGTACTCATTTTGTAGATTTATAGAATTTTACAATATAAGAGTTATCATCTGGTTAATAAAGTAAGTTAACATTTAAGAATATTAATAATAATAAAAAATACTTTATAAATTACGAATAAGTTAAAAATTCTTTAAACGATTATTTTTTAAGTTAAGAGCAAAATCAAAATTATTAATTTTAAATTTTTTGGAAGAAATTAGCTGTTTTTTTTACAACCGAAGGAGTTTACTAAATTAATAGAAAAACAAATTATAAAAGAGAAATATAAAAATACCCGTTTATTTATGAAGATAATATTTTAGTTAATTAAAATTATATTTTCAAAACTAAAATTAATTAAAAAATTGAAAATACTAATTCATTCTTAATCTAATCATTTGATCGAAAAGTAAATGAAAAAGTTTTGAAAGAAATTAAAACTGAATTATAAAAACACTTAATTAATTACAATTTATAAATTCCTCACATAGGAGATTAAGATTTTGAGAAATTCTAAAAATTTTTAGATTCAGTTACATAAAGATATCATGGTAATATTAATAAAGGATAATCAATCTAAATTGAAATATTTAAAAATAAGGAACAAAAAGTTTAAGCTTAAATAGAATCAATTAAGAGTTATGTAAAGTAATATCCAAAGAAATGGATAAAATAAAGTGAAAATTTTATTAAAGTTCCACTTCAATAAAATTCTAAGGAATTTACTAAAATCTAAAAGAATTTTTAGAAAACTGATGATTGAACAATAATAGCTATATATAGAATTTAAATTAATCTTTATGGGAGAATTATATATCAGAAAGAAATAAATTATTTGGAATTCATAAAAATTATAAAAATACATTAAATAAAATAGAATAAAAAAAATATCTATGGCATGGAGTCAGTTCTTAACATCCTTCTGTGATTTATAAAAGTTAAAAAGAAGCATTTGATGTCACATTTAGTTAAGTAATTATATTTTAATTGTAAATCGGTTTATGGGGATGGTATTTATTTTGCTGAAAATGCAGCTTATTCAAGAAACTATTCTTATTAAATAACTTAATAAGATGATCCAAATCATGTAAGAATGAAAGTAATGTTATGTTGTTTGATACAACTGGTAGAGTAGAACAGAAAGAATAAAATATTAATATAAGAAGGCCAAGTTAAGGATATGATTCTGTTATAAGATAGATGTTAGGAGAGTTTATCCTGTTTATGAAGTGATTTATTAATGAATTTACAACAAAAATACAGCAAGATATTAAACAACTATATATAATTGAATATTAATTAAATTAAAAAAATTTAAATATATTTAAATTCAATTTCTAGGAATCTATTATGACAATTGGCATTGATACTTTTAAGTTAAATTTCAAGTAAAGCCAAATTCAATGATCTATAATATATGATAAACTATTATTAGGTTTATAACCAAATTCTAAGATTGGTTGAGAATCTTTGTTAAAATAAAAAAAAATATAAAGGAATTCTACTTTTTAAATTCTTCATAATCATACATATATACAAAAGATTCTCCTAAACTTTTTGCTCATATAAGTTATTTTATTATTTTTATAATATTGTTTTTTTTTTNAGAATTATATTTTCAAAACTAAATTTAATTAAAAAATTGAAAATACTAATTCATTCTTAATCTAATCATTTGATCGAAAAGTAAATGAAAAAGTTTTGAAAGAAATTAAAACTGAATTATAAAAACACTTAATTAATTACAATTTATAAATTCCTCACATAGGAGATTAAGATTTTGAGAAATTCTAAAAATTTTTAGATTCAGTTACATAAAGATATCATGGTAATATTAATAAAGGATAATCAATCTAAATTGAAATATTTAAAAATAAGGAACAAAAAGTTTAAGCTTAAATAGAATCAATTAAGAGTTATGTAAAGTAATATCCAAAGAAATGGATAAAATAAAGTGAAAATTTTATTAAAGTTCCACTTCAATAAAATTCTAAGGAATTTACTAAAATCTAAAAGAATTTTTAGAAAACTGATGATTGAACAATAATAGCTATATATAGAATTTAAATTAATCTTTATGGGAGAATTATATATCAGAAAGAAATAAATTATTTGGAATTCATAAAAATTATAAAAATACATTAAATAAAATAGAATAAAAAAAATATCTATGGCATGGAGTCAGTTCTTAACATCCTTCTGTGATTTATAAAAGTTAAAAAGAAGCATTTGATGTCACATTTAGTTAAGTAATTATATTTTAATTGTAAATCGGTTTATGGGGATGGTATTTATTTTGCTGAAAATGCAGCTTATTCAAGAAACTATTCTTATTAAATAACTTAATAAGATGATCCAAATCATGTAAGAATGAAAGTAATGTTATGTTGTTTGATACAACTGGTAGAGTAGAACAGAAAGAATAAAATATTAATATAANGATCCAGATTATGAAGGAATGTAAGTAATGTTATATTGTTTGGTTACAACTGGTAGAGTAGAAAAAACAGAAGAAAATAGAAATATACGAAGGCCAAATTAAGGATATGATTCTGTAACAGGCTTTACAAATGAAAGCAATATATATGTTTTATATAAAATGGATGTTAGGAGAGCTTATCCAGCTTACGAAGTAATTTATAAATGAATTTACAACAAAAATACATTATATTAAAAATTATGTATTAACCGCGTATCTATTAAAATATAACAACTTTAATGTATTTAAAACTGAAATTTATGAGTTACATATTCTTTTATTAAAATAGTAAATGAATTTTTAAAGTTAAATTTCCAGCCAAATTTTATAATAGCTAAGCTAAAAGTATTATCTCAAATATAAAATAAATACTTTTTTAAATTCTCAGAGAATAATTTGTTATAAAATAAGTAACCTTTAATAATATTTTTTTTAATCTATTTATAAGAATAGTTACTTTTATTGTCAATTCATTCTAAAGCATAAAGGAAATATAAAAAACTAATACAGAATATTAAATAGATTCAATATGATTGCACACATATATTTCAAAAAAACAATTTTGATATTTTCAAGTTTAAATTTATATCTGTAGCATTTACATTTCTTCTCAGAAATATTATTATTACATGATTCATATTTTGATAACAAATTTCTGACATATCAATTACCCCATACAACCTATTTTGCTAATTAAATATTTCTAAAAGAAATTATTGCTTGCATAAGAATTATAGATGATAGGGAGAAATTAATTTAATCAAAATTTTAAAATACGTTATCCTAATTTGATTTAAATATTAAATTTATTCAAACTTAGTTAAATCTTATAATTATAAATGTTAGTTATTAGATTTTTTATTATAGCTATTGCTTTAGATAAGGCTGTTCAAACACGTTTTTTTTGCATATTTTATTAAAGGTTGATTCTTATTTGTAGTTTTAGGGAAATCATTTAAAAAAGTGCATATCATTACAAAGTATATATTTTAATCGAATAAATTTTAAAATCTTCTTACCTATATTGATAATGCTAAGAAAATCAAACCTGTGAACATGATTACTTATGTTATATTATTTGATATTTTTTTATGATATTTCTTTAAACAGAATTAAATAAAAATTAATTTAGATAAACTCTATCAATTTGATGATGAAATTACGTGTTTTAATTAAGCTATTAAATTCATTCTTATACTGAAATTAAAATCTTAAATTGAAATTAACAATTCTAAGATGTGAATTTAAAATTTACATTCCTAATCTAATTAAATATAAATTCTTTATATATTTATATTTGAAGCTTGTCAAAGTTTTAATGATATTATTAGACCCTAACCATATATTTTTTTCTTATCAATTAAAAATTGAAATTTTAGAGATGTATGAAGAATAATTTGTTTGGTATTGAAATCAATTTATAAATTTAAAATAATATCATTTTTAATTAAATATATATAATACAAAGATAAGTAGAATCAATTATATATTTTAAATTTATTTCACTTTAATACAAAAATTATCGTCATCAAAATCAATCGATTCTTAAGAAACTTCTTTGATATTAAACTAAAATAATAACTGAATCAAAAATTCAATTTATTTTTAATTAGAGTATATTTTTAATTTTTTCATGTAGATTATGAATAATTAAATAATAAATTTGCAAATAAATGTAATATATATTTTTAAATTATTTCAATTAGATCTATATAAATATTTTACTCTTATTTCAAATAAATACTTACTTATTTCTTTGGAGTATTTATATTTTTTTTAAATAAATTAATTCACAAGATGCTTAATCGTTCTAGCAATTTAATTCTTCTCTAAACTAAATAATTTGATGGAGTCTTTTATTTTCTCTTCTAAAATAAAGTTTCCTTTTACCTTAGCATAGCATAATAAATCAATATAATTAATATTACCTTATTTTTCTTATTCAAGAAGTAAGAATTTCCAGTAGTTCAATTCTTGACTTGAATCATCTTACTAATATTTCATATGTTACAAAACATCATTATTTGTATAAATTTAAAAATAATGTGGTTTATTAATGTCATTTGATGAAATAATAATTCATTTCTATTTGAAGCAAGGTTTTATGTTTAACGAAGGTAATTATTTTACTTTTTCATTAATCTTCTTAGAAAAATGACAAATAATGATATTTCCCATTTAATTTAATGTTTTGATGATTATAAATATGTTAATGGATTCCAAAAATGAATTAACATTATAATATTTTATTTATAGTTTTATACTAAGCTTTACAAATTAATGATCTTTTATCACCTTCAATAGTATTCTTTAGACATTTTTATTAAATTTTATTGAAAAAAATATTATTTATATTTTATTTATTAGAATTTATAAGTAAATTTTTATTCTACTTAAAGTTATTTTATTTAATTCAGTAATCTTTAAAAATATTCATATTTAAAATTTATTAGTTTAATTTTTTATAAATCTTAAAAGCTCAAAAGCTCTTTTTATAAGATTGCTTAAACAAATTTATGTAAAAATAACTTAATCAGACTTTCTTCAATCATATTTTATATATTTATAATGACAATCAAGGAATATAATATTTTTCCATTTATGATGACATCAAAATTTTATCTAATTCTTAAATACTTATTCTGATGAAATTTCAGAATAGTCATAATTATTATACCAAAAGCAACAACTATATATTACTCAAGAATGAGAAATTAAGGTTGATATTAATCGAATCTTATAAAAAAATTGGAATAACATTTCTTTTTTTTTAAGATAATTTTTAATAAAAATTCATTTATATAAATTGTTATAAAAAGAAAAGGTTCTTGTATATTTTATTAATAATAATTAAGTTGAATATTTAGAGAGTGCAAAATAAATATTGATGATTTATAAACGTTTATATTGTTCCAGAAATGCTGAATTACTAGTATGACTATTTTTAATTTATTAAACTTTATAATAATAGTCTTTATTTGGATGTAATAATAAACTTTTAATTATACTTTATTTATTTTTTTAGGTATTTTTTATGTTTAATACTCTTTTTTTAAAATTATTAGCATTTCTTAATTTTTAATTTATATAATGTATTTAAAAAGTAATTATTATATGATTTTTTTTTTATTTATAATCTCAATTGATTATTTTTAAGCTATAAGAAATATAGGTATAACTTTAGGCCCATTAACATAATAATCGACAACATATGTAGTTTATTAAGATGATTATCTTAATTAATAATTTAGTTTATAAGAATAGGCTTGTTGGAGCAATTGTGCACCTTTAGATCTATTTTATATAAAATCAAATGTAAATTAGAAAATAGCATATACACCTTTAAATATCATTAATACAGGAGATACTGATTTAATAATAGATTCAATAGGCTTATCAACTTAGAAGGGATAGACTTTAAAGATTTCACTAAGTAAATATTATTTAAATTAGATAATACTAATAATATTTTAGTTAAGAAAAACGGAATTGAGAAAATAAATATTCAATATATTTGTGAAAATAAATTAACTAAGGAAAATTATTGGGCTGTTATTGATATAACTCTAAAAATAAAGAAAGAATAATTAAAGTTTTCTTATTAGTATATTTGTGATCCTAATTTCCATCCTAAAAGATTTGATTGGAGTTATTTAATTTTAATAGTAACAATGTCAACATTTGTACTCATTCTATCAAGATAATAAAAATTAAGTGCATTTAAAATAACTTATTATGATATATAAAATAATAAGAATGTGGTTGTTTTTTAAGGGTTTCATTTGGGTTTTAAAAGTGCAATTATATATAACTTTATATTTTGTATGGGTGTAATTTCATCTTATATATTTGAAAAAAAAGTAGAAGATGTTGAAGAAAATTTAGTTCGATTTTTTTGTTTAATTTTTGGATTTATTTTGATTAGTGAAGTAAAAAATGAATTTATATTTAGATTTGTTATAAGATGATATTCTTAAAAATAAAAATAATTAAATTTTTAAGAGCATGTGATATTATTGGATTACTTTTGTCGATTGTAACTTTGCATTTATATGTTGATAATAATGAGCCATGGATTGTATAAAAATATAATTGATATTTTAGATAAGTAATGTATTAACAATATTTTTGGTTGGAACTTCAATTAAATTATTCAAAATAACTAGTTTAAAAAATGGCATAAGTTTTTTTATTCCATGTATAATAATGGATATATTATTTTCAATTTTTGGTAGTATATTTGTACGTTATGAATGGGATAGTCTAATTATGAAATATTTTAATACTCCACTTACTGCTTAATTTCCATATTTTTATCCAATATATAAAAAAAGATGTGGTTGGTTATCAATATCTTCTATATTATTTCCAGCATTTTTCTTTGCTTATGCTCATAGAGTTGACAGATATAAAGATTCAATTATTTATAGATTAATATCTTATATTGGTTTATTAGTAGGATTAACTTTATGGTTTACTTTTTCTTCACTTTATTCAATACCATTACCAGTTTCATCATTTACTCTTTTTCCAACAATTGGAATTAGTGCAATTATAGCATTTTAAAGAAACGAAATTAAAATTATGTGGAATGGAGAATTCTATGATCATGTTTTATTAAATCCCTGGAGAAACTAAATAGGAGAAAGAAGATCAAACATTGGAATTAATCCAGAAATTGAATTATAAAATATTACAAAAGTCAAACTTATAAGATTATCACAAAACTAAGTCAGATTAAATAATATATTATTTGATGGATTATTAGATTGATTTCAATTACATTAATATTCAAATTTATACTAATTTATAATCTATTTATTATATAATATTAATAAATATTAAGCAACATTTTTATCTCATTTTTAATTAATATATCAATATTCTTGATAAATTTATCATCAAACCAAAAATTATCAAAATTTTGCTTCTTTTTATAAAATTAACTATTTTTAATTAGGCAAATTCTTCAATAAAAATAATAATAATATATCAGATTAAAATGCATTTAGTAGAATGAATTTATAAAAGCATTTAATTTTGCTCTATTACAATAAATTTTATTTATAAATTTTAATTTAATGGGTTGTTCTATCTGTAAAAAAAATGAAGCATAATAATAAACCTGGAGTTTATAATATTCCCAATAGGATTAATCAATATAATAAAGAAAAAACTCAAAATAATTATAATCCAAAAAAATAACCTAAATTGAAGATAAAAATGAATAATAGGATATTAATGAAAATTAACACTAATCATAAGAATGTCTGGCAACAAAAGAAGAATAAAATAAATAAACAGAACTAAATAGAATTCATTTTTAGTAATAAATAAAAATATAATCAGAGTAATAAGTATAAAAGAGTTATCCATTGTAATTTAAAGAACAAGAAAAAAATTAAAACAATTAAATATAATAATAAGACAGAATTTAAAAATAAAAATAAGATATGATTTAAAATAAATAATAAGAAAAAATCATCTAACATATATATATAAATCAAAAATAAGGGGATGAAAAAAATAGTTAATTAAAATAAGAATAAAAAGAATAATTAGAAATTCATCCTTCGTAGGAGTAAAATTTTGATGAATAATAAATAGATTAAAAAGGATTAGATTAATTAGAAGAATATATGAATTTTGTTTATCCTTTTGATAAAGATAAATTGTCAATTTTCATTACTCTAGGAAGGTAAAGATAAAGAAAAATTACTAAATCTATTTTAAAGAATTAAAATTTTGTCAATTAAATTTAAGACTTAATTTTTGATAAATTGTTAACACTTACTAAAATATAAGTATATATTGTAAATAATGTAGGATCTATGTTAAGAACACAATATTGAACTTATGAAGGCTTTGTTTTTATATACTAATAATTAAGAAATTATTTTACAATTAATATTAGAATATTTAGATGATTATTCTATCATTGAATACGTTATAATAAATAAATAATTTCCAAAAAATTAATAGTTAATCATTATTGCCTAGTATTTGTTAAAAAAACTTAGACCTTCAGTTAGAATGAATCACGTTTAAATGAGCTTAAAATTTTTAGAAGTAGTTAAAAACACATAATAATTTTAAATTTTAATTGATACTTTAAAAATTAAGACTGATATCAATTCTTAAAATCAAATATCTTAAGTTTAAAATCTTATTTCATATTTTAATTAAAGTAAACCAGATCATATTAAGCTTATTGGAAAAATAGCAAAATTGTGTGGTGAAGTAATTGATAAAGATTTATTTAATATGTATTAAATATGGAAAAAAAATTGTATTTTTCATACTTTGAAAATTCCTAAAAGTTATTCTAAAGATCCAGGTACTGATTTTAAGATTGAACTTGAAACATTAAATTATAATTTATTTCATGAGATAGCAATTAGAAAAAATTGGTAATAATTTATTTAATATTCAAATCCATATTATCATTAGAAAAGTGTCGATAACAGAACACCATTTTTAATATTCCTTCAAAAGGCTCCAATTTAAATAATTGTTGATTATATAAATAAATATCCAAATGAACTTGAATAGAATATAGAAATAATAACAAATTAAGGTTTCACTTTAATTCATAGTTTATGCAAAAACAATAATTTAGAAAAAGATAATTTAGATATAATTAATCAATTAATATCAATATTAAATAAAAAAGAACAAACTATTTTTCTATTAAATGTTGCCTACTAAGATCAAATACCTCTTGTTTATTATTTGGATAATTAAAAAAATTATAAAACAAAAATGATTGAATTCTTAAGTAGTTCTTTAATTAAATAATTTAATTTTGAAAAGTTAGAAATTGAAGCATATTTAATAGCTGATTAAATTCTAAATCAATAAATTTCTATAAAAAAAGCATAACCTTACTTTAAATAATTATCAAAAAGGCAATAAAATCTTGTAAAATATTAATGGATTGAAAAGAAAGATGAATTAAAAAATTAATCAGAATATTTAGAATTCACTTAATTTTATTAACATTATATTTAATTATCTAAATAAATCATAAAAAATAATCTATTCGATTAATTTCTTTGGATAAATAATTATACAATATATTCCTGCCATATCCCTTTTGATATAGGTAACATTAGATCATCACTTTTATATACACTTTTAGCTTATTAAAGATATGAACAATTTAATAGTTAAATATAGATATTATGTAAAAAAATTTAAACTTTTAAATATGATGAAAAATAAAACTTACTAGAATATTAGAATATAGTTCAATAAATATCAAGATTACTTTTTATCTACTAAGAATTATATAATTATCCTGAGTTATAATAATCTCAAATATTGATAATCAATACTATTTCAAATATAATTAAAGAAAATTCTAAAATTATATTAAATAAAGTTTATGGCTTATTTAAAAATGAAATTTTAGCAGAGAATTTATATCTTTAATATTTAATGAAGATAACAATGTCTTCCTAAGAATATATAAAATTTTTAAAAGTGCTGTTTTCTTATTTACAAACTGATCAATATGAAATTTCAATTAGGACTTATTTTAAATCATATGGAAAATATAAAACTAGTATAAGACTCTTAAATCAGTAAATATTTGTGAAAGATGAATTAATAATAAAATTAAAAAAAATAAATAAAGAATTTGGCCCATAAAAAAAAAATTATTTAGATTAAGAGGATATATTAAATCTCTTAAAACAATCCTTAACTTGTGACATAAAATCAGAAGTTTTTTTAGTTGGAAATGAAATTATTTTAAGGTCAAACTCTATTTTATTTTAAATAATGGAAAAAAGCTTTAAACTTTAAACTATTTTTCATTCTGAATTTTTTAATATTAAATCTTTATGGTTGCTATTAAGATATAGAAATTATGATAAAAAATAACTTAGCTAATACATTAAAAGCCAAGTTAATTAAATTGTAAAAATTAAAAAAGTTTAGACTCAACATATTTAAGTGAACTATTTGATTGGTAATTATGTGGTATGTAGTGTAAATTTATATTATAGTTTTTTGATAAGAAAAAGAAATATTCCCTAAAAGAATAAATAATCTTAAAATAAATAAAATATAATTATGAATTTGCAATATGTTTGATTCTTTATGATGATTTTCACTCTGATATGAAAATGTATTTTAAATAATTTCCCGATAAATTAAAATACATTTCTCACAACAATTTTCCTCTAAGTTAAATAATATCGAATAAAGCAATTAAGAATTTATAGTTTATAATTTAAGAATTAAAACTTAGTAAGCTTGAATTAATTTCAATATTAACTACATAATTTTTTTGCTTGAATAATTTTATTGTATTAGAGAATTAGTTTCAAAAAGGAATCATTAATTTTAATGAGTAGATGAGATTCTTATTATAAATAATTTAAAATAATGATTATGAAAGAAAAAATCTAATGTCCCCTTTCTATATATAATATTTTGAAAAAGAAACTATATGCTAAATAGAGGAAATTTTATTGTCTGAATATTTTGATAATGAAAGACTTAATATTTTTTTGAGTTTGTCATAGAATAAATTTAAATATAATAATAAATGGACAGATGAGATATCAATCATATTATTGGATATTTGTTTTAAAAATAAGACATAAATTGAAAAAGAATAATTAGATTATCTTCTATACTTATAAGCTTTTCCTATAATAGACAGATGGATAGTTTTAAATTTGGCATCAATTTATATTAAATTTAATGAATAATAAAAAAAATTTTATTTAATGAAATTTTTTAATTATGCCATTAATTATCCTGATGAATGCTGGTAGCTTAAATTAAAGCTAGATTTTACTTATCATTATTATATTTCTTTGTTTTTGTATGCTATAAATTCAAAAGATTTAGGTAATTAAACTAGATTACTATGGTTTCATAATTTAACAATTTAATTTGGTATTAAGCATGGTGTTCTTGCTGTTGATTAATTAAAATGTAGAGATGGTTTTTTTTTAGATTCATAAGAAATATTGGAAAACGGGAATAAAAAACATAAAATAATATAATCAATATAGTTTTTAAATTCATAGAAATTTATTAAATTTAGTAAAATTCATTATGGAAATTTTTGGCTAGCTTTAGATATCAAATAATTAAAAAATTTTATAGATGAAGTAAATCTTACAGAAGAAGATTATTTAATATTTATTAAAATTTTCATAATAAATGGTTTAATTGATAAATTAAAACTTGTATTTCATAAGATTTAAATTAAAAACCTATTACCTAAAATAATAGGTCTTTTAATTTTAATAAAATAATATTTTTTAAATTCAATTTTTGAACAAAAAATTTTTGAAACAGAAATTATCGAAGATTAAAATGAGAATAACAATTAAAAAATAAATTATTTAAAATTTAACATTGCATACTTGTTTTATGTAAATTAAAAAATAGATTATCTATAAACTTTCGCATTTATCAGGACATAGATATAAAAGTTAAAACTTGATATTGTTCTGTCTTAATCTGATTATAATGAGAATAAATTATTAGATTTATTAATTTTTCCAAATACTCCTAACATTTAACTAAACTCTAAACTAGTAAATATCATCATAAATATTTTTATCAATAGAAAATCTAATTATAAATCAAAAAATTCTATATTCAATTCAGAACAATTTGTTAAGGATCGAATGGATGATTATATAAGAATAATAAAAATAAATGTTTTAAACCATGAATTTGTTTTTCAAGGATTAAAATACATTACCGAATTTTAAAAAGAGTTTTTTGAAAAAATTTTTGTTTATATCAGTGAATTAGATTAAAAAGATAGTTCAAAAATAAAAGTGAACTATGAAGAGTTAGCAAATTTAATTATTAGAAGTGAGATAAAAAATGAAAAATTGAATAACATTTTAGAAAAAGGATTAAATTGCATTAATCATGTTAGTTATACAATTAAATTTTACTTATTCAAAGGGGCTAATTTAAGATAGTAAATTTTAAAAGGTGTTAATCATAATGTTTATTATGGAAAATTTGAATTTCTTGAATAATGGCTATCTGTTTCATAATAATCATTAAATCTAATCAATTATACAGATTTATTCTTCCTAAAAGGTCTTTAAGAATTAATAACTAAAAAAATTTAATTTGATTAAAAATATTTAATATCATCATTATTATATTGTAATCTTGATACCATAAATTTTGTTATGAAATAACATGAAAATCCAGTAAGATTAGGGTTTGAGTAAAATTTATTTTAGATTCTAGTAATATATTCAAATGAAAAAGACATAATCACATATTATAATTAATATGTTTACAAGAAAATTAATGATAACAGAAGATTATTTTAAATCAATAATATTTCTATACTTTACTATATTGTATAAAAAGGATATTAAAAAGTATTTTTCGAAGTTTACCTCAAATAATTACAAGATACTTTGAATGAAAATGAAATAAATAATTTTATATCCTAATAATTATTACAGAATTGTCCTTAAAGTTCAAAAAAAATTTATTAATAGGCTTTAGAATTAAATTGCTTCTTTTTGCTTGAATACATGAAAAAAATTATAATTTAGAATGATATAGAAGTATTCATTAATTAATAAGATGTTGAATTTGAAAAGAAAATAAAAAACTACACTGTTTAAACTTAATTTATTTTGAAATTCATCTAAATTTATGAAGATATAAATATATTCCAATAAAATAAAAAAGGACTTTAAAAGATTTAATATTAAGATGAATGTATTATATTTTTTGCCTCAAAGTATTTTACTTTTATTCAATAATTAAAAACTGTATTATATTTAATCTTTGAAATGAAGAAGGATCTCTATAATTTTATAAATAATAACTTTGTTTTTTTTTTTATTTTTAATAATAATTCACTTGAAGAATATAATACAAAATGCTTACATCCTGTTATATTATCATTTCCCTTAAAATTTGCATTTGATAAAAAATACTAAATAAATAATTAACAAATGAAAGATATTATTATTGGTGCCTAATCTCATGGATTATTATCTAATATAATATATAACTAATTTATTCAAAAGATGTCTATATAACTACTTAATGAAATTTAAATTCAAAATTTTACTTTATAAAATTCCTTAGCAATGGCTAAATCAATAAAAGAAGATTCAGACAAATAAAAAATTTTTAATTTTTTGCAATAGTAAATGATGATTTAAAAATCTGATAAACTTTATTATTTAAGCAATCCGATTTATTTAATCATATTATTATTGAATTTGGATATTTTAAATAATAGCGAATTAAAGTTTATAAAAATTTATTTTTCTTCAATTACAAAAGCTATCTTAATTTAAAGTATTGAGTTTTTATAATAATTTATTATTTCTGAAAAAAAACCTTTATCAGCAAATATCAAATAGTTGATATTTTAAATAACAACTGATTCAGTTTCTTTCGAGAAAAAAAATGAAGAAATATTTTGGATGATGGTTTAAAATAATTAAATTTACTATCCAATATTATCTGAAATTTTAACAATTAAGCAAATTGAGAGTTTATGTCATTAATTAATTAGATAAATGAATTATTAATTTATAATTAAAAAATAAGAAGTTGATTTTAATTTCATAATAAGTTTTGATGACATAGATATTTAATACAATGAGGAATTTATCATTATTCCATTAGAATATGATGACAATGAAATATTTATCACTGTTAATAAGGTTAATTAATTTTTAAAACATTACAAAAAAATAATATTCAAATAAAATGCTGATTAGGAAGTATTAGCATTTCAAGAGATATCAGACAGGTATGAAAAATTTGAATTATATTCATTTCTTACTGATTTAGATGTAGAAACAATTCCGATATTAATGGGGAATCAAAAAACATTTGCGGAAAATTTTTTCATATTTTAAGATGTAATGATAGATTTTAAAGATCTAGAAGGTAATTACTCTCTTTTAGATCCAGATGCTCCTCATTTATGCGATGAGACTTTTTTTGAAAATCAAAAAGATGAAATTTAAAAATTAGGTTTGTAAAATAAGTAATAACATTTTAATAATTCAAAAAATCTTTAATTAATGTTAGATTCTGATTTATTAACTAAATAAGAATTTCAATTCATATTATCGCTTTTGATGAATGATTCTAAAAATTTAATTGAGAAATAACCAAATATATATATTGAATTCTACAATTTTTATAATCCTAAAAAAACAATTGTAAAATTTGATTAATGTTCAAAAATTGATTTTGAAACTTAGGCTAATGGATAAAATGCAATATCATTTTTATTAGCTGAATTTTATAAATATTATGAAAATATAAAAAATCAAATTTTACATAAAGATTATAAATAATGGGAGATTAATTTACCTTATTATATTGATGAATATGGAATTCATTATGAAAAGTCACTATTTTCAACTTATACACTTTAAATTGTATTAGAAAAGCTTTATGAATTTAAAAATCAGATTAAAGAATTGTTTGTTAATAACACTGATTAAGAAAAAGTTTCTTGGAGGATTAATGCAATTTCATTTCTTCAAGTTTTGGTCAGCAATTTAATTAATTTTACTGATTTCAAAAAAAAAGTTGTTGATATACTTTCACTTTTTGATTTAATATTTAATTGGAGCTAATTAAAATTGTTATTACTAGATTTGGTTTACATTAATTTGAAAAAATAATCTAAAATTTAATCTTTTATAAAGAGGATCTATGTAGAATTTAATGAAGTTTCAGAGATACCATTTGAAAATTCTTTCATAGAACATGGTTTAGAAACTTTTTTTAGATTTGGCTAAACAAATTATTAGTTATAATAATAAAATTTAATTATTCAATTAAATATTTTGAATATAAAATAATAACTTCATTCTAAAAAAATTGTAACAAAAAATCAAAAAAAATAAAATTTAAATTTACTAAAAGAATAAGAACTGGACTATTATTATTATAATATTATTAATTAAGAGGATATGTTATTTTAAATATTTGATTCTAATCAATTAATACAATATTTATTTTAAAAGTTTGAAATTGATCGGAAATTTCAGGAAATCTCTTAAAATTTTATTAAAATGTTAAATAAAGATGTCACCATATCTATTCATCAATAGTCTTTATTTGACCTTTTTAGAGATCAAATCAATGATATATCTTAATTGAAGGATAGAAAATAATAAATGGAAAAATAATATTTAGTTAAATATCAATTGGAACACATATCAAATTTTTTTTAGAATAAAGTAGGAAAAATGTTAAATGAATAATTGATGAGCTTTAAATATGAAAACATATTTCAAATTATGATTTCTAAATTTGTTCATTCCCTTAGATAAAATTTTGATCTTTCAGAATAAAGGATTCCAAATTATAGAAAAATTTTAAGTGTAGAAAAAACACAAGTAGCTAAAAAATTTCGTTATCCAAATAGAAATTGCGATAAATTGATATAATTAAAATATGGATTTTAATTAAAAAAATCATATTATTTGTGTTAAAATAAAATAGGAGATTTATTATTAGTTTGCTTTAAAAAAAAGTAATAAGTAATTAAAACAATTTTATGCTAATTAATTGACTTTTAATAAGGTCATTTTGGGTTTAAAGTATTTAGTGATGAGGACAAATCAATATTATCGGAGGAATAAGCTTAATAGTATTCTCTTAGATTAGAAAAATAAAGTAAGAAGGTTTAAAAAAATGAAGAAATTGAAATAGTTAAATTTGAAAATCTAATAACAATTGTATACTTTATGAATAATTGGCCAATTGATTAAGACTTTATTAATAATATTTTGAATATATTTATAACAGATTAAAATGGAAACCTCTATCTAATTAATGAATACAGATTTCTTAAAAAAATGATTTAAATTCAAGAAACAGATAGTGATTCAATCAGAAAAAAGATTTTAGATTAAACTTTTGGATAAGACTAGATTACAATTAAAAGCAATTTTGCTGTTTCAGAAATACTTCCGATATTTCCAAAAATAATTTAGTTTTATTTTGTTGGGGATTAGAAATTTGAAAGAAAAGAAGAGTAACCAAATTTTAAATATATTGATATTAAAATTAAAGATCAAGATTTTTAGATTATTAATATGAGAATTGATAATCTTAATACAGCATGTTATTTTGATACGCATTTGGGAGCTTAATAATATGTTAAAAAATTAATAAAATTCAAAAATAATAATAAAGAATTTGCCAAAATTTAAATAATCGTCAAATTTAGTGATTCCTTGGATTAAAAAGCCTCATTATATTTAGATTTGTTCTTTTAATAGGGCTCATCTTTTGAAGAATTTTAAATAGGTTATGAAGAATTTTTAGCTGATTCATTTGGATGGTTAACGCAAAATTCACTTAGCATATTTTTTGATGTTAGTGAAATCGAAATTAAAAAATAATTATTCAAAAATTTAATAAAAATTATACAATTTAATTTTGATATTTTGACAGAAGAGGAAAATAAATGTGTTGAATTCAAAAATGGGATTCTATAAATTGCTTCATATATACAAATTTTAAAAGATGGAAGATATAACACGATTATTCCTTAATAAAACGAAATCTGTTAATTAATTAGATCTCTAATTATTTAAGATCAAAGTTTAAGAAATAACTTTTTTATTGAAAATTAATAATATAAAATTGAAATTGACTTTTATTACTAGGAATAATTTTCCTCAAAAATTTTATCTTTACTTATTTTAGTAAAATATTTATATTATTTAATAATTTTGAAGGATGATAGAAAAGTTAATTTTATTATAACATAAAATAACAATTTAACTGATATTTTTTACTATAGAATCTTGAAAGAAAAAAGGTAGGTTTAACTTTTTTATGAAAATTTTAAGGATTTGAATTTATAAGATTTCTTACTCGATTATTTGAATGGTTTTACTACTCAAAAAATAGCTTAATATGATTATTTCGATGAAGAAATCTTATATTAAAATTAAATTCTAACAAAAACAAAGAATTTTAAATTGATAGATTTTGTTTAAATACAAAAATAAAATGATGATTAATTGGAGCTGTTTATTTCTTATAATAAAAAAAAACTAATAAAGTTAGAAGGATAGTTAGATCCAAGTGAATTTGAGAGTGCTTTCCTAATAATTAAAGATTTATAAAGATTTTAAAAAGTTATTACCTTAAAAAGTTGTTCTAGATTCTCCCCTTTGATTTAATACATAAAATAAAATTCTTAATTAAAATTATAACTCTAAGTATTTTGTTGATTGAATTTACAAGTAATATACCAATAAAATTTAAAATAAAATCAAAAAAGTTTAAATTTTCTTCATCCAATTTGGATTGGCATTCAAAAATTTCTTTAATATTTAAATCCATCAATGAAACAGAATTATAAATAGGTTATCATACAGGAATTTAATAGGGGAATAAAATTACATCGTTATCAAAAGAATAAAAAATAATTCAAAACTATTTTGGAAATGATGGTTATTCAAATTTAACTAAAAATCTAATTAAAAGAACTTTGGTTTAGAATGAAAATTTCAATTTTAAAGCATTTGAGTATGAAAACATAAATAGAAAATTTATTCAATAAAACAACTTCTTTAATATTTAAAGAAAGGAAGACTTAAAATATTCAACAAAAGCTGGAGAAGAACGAACTGATATTATTGAGTTTGAAGATAATTTTGGAAATATTGTTAAAAATATAACCATTCAATCTTGCATTTTTGTTCATTCTATTTATTTTTAAGTTTAAATAAAGCCTTAGACTATAATCGAAGATTTAGGTTTAAAATTGGTATGGACTCCTGAAATTAAAGGAATTTATCTACTATACATTAATGAATAATAAATTTAAGGCAAGTTTATAATTTTAGCTAATCTTGTATGTTTTGAAAGAAGTAATTTAGAATTTCCATAAGAACTTAAAATCCTCCCTTACTATTAAGAATTTTCAATAAAAATGTTCTTTAGAGACTACTTTAACAATATATATGGGGATTTAGAAAATAATATAAATAAAATGGATTTAAAAATATAATGTAGTCCAAAACATTCCATAATGGAATAAGAAAGAACCATTTTGGGAAAAAGCGGCTAATAACAAATAAAAGTAAAGTTTACCCCAAATTAACTTGAATTGTTAAAAACAGAATCAATAAATTTAATTCTTAAAATTAATGGAAAAGAATGGCTAGGTAAGTATATAGATATTTTTATTAGATAAATAACTAATTCTACAAGGGTAATCATTTGAGTAAAATCTTCTATCTTTTATTAAATCTATACATTTAAATAAAGACGGAAGTGAAATTTATAGGATTGAAAAAAAATTATACATTTAAAGATAAAATTTTCTTCAGTGTTTGTAAAAGTTAGAATCAGAAAATTTAAAAAATAAAATTAAAATAACATTTTCAGGGGAACAAGGCTTAGATTAGGGAGGACTCAAGAAAGATTTCTATTTTATGATTGGGGAAGTTTTGATTTAAAAAAATTACGGATTTTTCATTTTGCTACCTTCAGGGCATTATTTTTTTAATGATAAATTCTTGATACAGAATAAAATATTTAATTATGCTTTAATTTTTGGAAAGGTATTTAAAATTTAAATTATTAAAAGCTTGTTGCAAATTCAATATTTAATAACTACCAAATAGGAATTCAATTTTCACCTTAATTTTGGAAGGTATTATTTGAAGAGAAAATATAATTTACAGATCTTTACGGATTTTTAGATCAAAATACTTATAAGAATTATANCATAAAATAAAATTCTTAATTAAAATTAATTTAGGGTTAAAAATTTTTTGTTTTAGTTAATGGTTTAAATCAAAATTAATCCGTCAACGAGCAATTAAAATAGATTTTAGTTGTCACTAAAAATAAAGTTCTTAGACCATTAACATTTTATATTTCTAATTCAACTAATTTGAAAGCCGAATATAAATTTATAACTCTAAGTATTTTGTTGATTGAATTTACAAGTAATATACCAATAAAATTTAAAATAAAATCAAAAAAGTTTAAATTTTCTTCATCCAATTTGGATTGGCATTCAAAAATTTCTTTAATATTTAAATCCATCAATGAAACAGAATTATAAATAGGTTATCATACAGGAATTTAATAGGGGAATAAAATTACATCGTTATCAAAAGAATAAAAAATAATTCAAAACTATTTTGGAAATGATGGTTATTCAAATTTAACTAAAAATCTAATTAAAAGAACTTTGGTTTAGAATGAAAATTTCAATTTTAAAGCATTTGAGTATGAAAACATAAATAGAAAATTTATTCAATAAAACAACTTCTTTAATATTTAAAGAAAGGAAGACTTAAAATATTCAACAAAAGCTGGAGAAGAACGAACTGATATTATTGAGTTTGAAGATAATTTTGGAAATATTGTTAAAAATATAACCATTCAATCTTGCATTTTTGTTCATTCTATTTATTTTTAAGTTTAAATAAAGCCTTAGACTATAATCGAAGATTTAGGTTTAAAATTGGTATGGACTCCTGAAATTAAAGGAATTTATCTACTATACATTAATGAATAATAAATTTAAGGCAAGTTTATAATTTTAGCTAATCTTGTATGTTTTGAAAGAAGTAATTTAGAATTTCCATAAGAACTTAAAATCCTCCCTTACTATTAAGAATTTTCAATAAAAATGTTCTTTAGAGACTACTTTAACAATATATATGGGGATTTAGAAAATAATATAAATAAAATGGATTTAAAAATATAATGTAGTCCAAAACATTCCATAATGGAATAAGAAAGAACCATTTTGGGAAAAAGCGGCTAATAACAAATAAAAGTAAAGTTTACCCCAAATTAACTTGAATTGTTAAAAACAGAATCAATAAATTTAATTCTTAAAATTAATGGAAAAGAATGGCTAGGTAAGTATATAGATATTTTTATTAGATAAATAACTAATTCTACAAGGGTAATCATTTGAGTAAAATCTTCTATCTTTTATTAAATCTATACATTTAAATAAAGACGGAAGTGAAATTTATGGATTGAAAAAAAATTATACATTTAAAGATAAAATTTTCTTCAGTGTTTGTAAAAGTTAGAATCAGAAAATTTAAAAAATAAAATTAAAATAACATTTTAAGGGGAACAAGGCTTAGATTAGGGAGGACTCAAGAAAGATTTCTATTTTATGATTGGGGAAGTTTTGATTTAAAAAAATTACGGATTTTTCATTTTGCTACCTTCAGGGCATTATTTTTTTAATGATAAATTCTTGATACAGAATAAAATATTTAATTATGCTTTAATTTTTGGAAAGGTATTTAAAATTTAAATTATTAAAAGCTTGTTGCAAATTCAATATTTAATAACTACCAAATAGGAATTCAATTTTCACCTTAATTTTGGAAGGTATTATTTGAAGAGAAAATATAATTTACAGATCTTTACGGATTTTTAGATCAAAATACTTATAAGAATTATAGTTGGCTTTTTTCATTAAATGCTAATGAATTAGAGTCTTAAGAACTTAATTTTACATATAATATGAACAATCTGATACCACAAGGAGACAAAGTAAAAGTTAATAAAAAGAACTGTTAAGAATATTTAGATAAAACAGCAGAATATTTAATCCAAACTAAATTTTAAGAATTATTTACAAACTTTAGAAATGGATTTTCAACAGTTCTAGATATTCAAGTAATAACATTTATTATAAACATTTTAGAATTTAAAAAAGTACTTTTAACCTAACGATATGGGCCTTATTACTTTAGGTATTTAAGAAATTAATCCTTAATAATTATTGAATATGATAATATTTAAAGGAGGTTAAGATTATCATGAAAAATTCTTTATTACTTATGTGTATCAATTAGATGGTAAAAAATTAGATAATTACTATAATACATAACAGGAACCCCAACATTACCAATGGATAGAAAAATTGAAATTACTGTTGAATTTATACCAGATATTAAAGAAACACTTACACCAACATCCCAAACATGTTTTAATACTATACAACTACCTCTTTATAAAAGTTATGAAGAAATGAAATTAAAATTAGATATAAGAATTAATTATGGTTTAGTTGGATTTTAAAATAAATGAGTTATTAATAAAAATAAATTTTATGTTATTATAATCTATATATAAAGTGTATAATTTATATCTAACTTTTGATTTTTATAAATTAAATAATTAAATTAGAAAGCAAACAATATAAAATTAATCAACTCAAATAAAAAATAATTGACCTGAAACAAATTAATTAACAAAATCATATTTAAAACTATTTATTTATATTAATTTAACAAATTCTGAAAAAGGCTCAGCTTTAGTTATCAATTATAATACATAACCAAATATATTGAGAAATCCAGAGAATGTTATAATAAAAAATGATCATATTTTTGATGTAACAAAAAAAGGATAATAAAATTTTTATATCTCTTTTTAAATAATAGTTGCAAATATTAAACAGAAAATTGTTGTGATTAATAATTATGAATTATTTGATATAGAACGATTACAAGATATAATTTATTTTGTTTAGGAGACAAATAGAGGTAAAAAATCATCATATAATTTCTTTAATCAAATATCATTAATATTTTAATTATTACCTAGAACATAAATAACAGATTTTATTATTTTTGATTGATTGAGACTAGCTTTAAATAAATAAAACGATTGAATAGATTCAATAAATGATATCAAGCAATTTATTAATTTTCTAATAACTTTTTTGGGCCATAGAAAGATAGATAAAGAGTAAGAAAAATTTATCAATATTCAATAGGAATAAAATTTAGAAATAGATTTAAAGAATTAGAAATCCTTAAAAGGTTGTCTAAAATATCTCTAGTTTTAAATTCAGACTCAATTTTTAATATATTTTTATAAAAAATTCTAATACGCATTATAATGTTTTAAGATATGTTTATTGTAATTGATTTTTATGAATACTTTTTTGATTTTTGATACATTCTCTACTCTTATAAATTTATATATTTATA